TGAGCTATTTTAATAGAAGAGATTCTCAACATAGTAATGGAAGACAACATCATCTCACCTCCCACTAAGAATGTTCCAAGAATTTATCAGACATTCGATCCTATGATCTGATCAAATTACTCATAAGATAATTGTACTGTTTATGATATTTTCAATAATTTATGAGTAGATAATTCTCATTTTATCTCACAAATTGATGTTCGACATAAGATATTCTCGTTTGTCATAGTGAAAGAAAGTTCGATATAATCACAATAGCATTCACAATTCTTGATACGGGAGGTCTCGTCTGAACTTGATTAAGAGTTAAGACATCTTATAGAAGAACAAATATTCGTAATGAAATTTATTAACCAAATTCTTTATCAAATCATTCAAGTGGAAATTTAAAATTTTAAACAAAAACCTAATTGCATCCCTATCAACAGGCGTGCGAGCTATTTGTTGCATTTTCAGCAAACATGCCGTCCGTTGATTTAAATATCAACAAAATCAAGTTAATTTTTTATGCCATTTCAACTGCTATGATCGTAGCACCACATTTTAAGTCCCCTTCTCTCTACATATCATAGAAATTGTTGAAGTTCATAATGTTGTCACATCATGCAAAACTATTTTATTTTTGTCGACTCGTTAATCGATAAATGTGTTGAGTTCAAATTTATTGAACAATTTCTTGATGATCGTGATATCGAAAATATTTTCATTACCTCAAAAAAAAAAAAAAAAATTCGGACCTAGACATCGAGTTAGGCCTCAATAAATTCTTCGATTTGCATTGAAAAACTAGTTAAGAATGTACTTTTCGTGCTGACTTAATTTGAGAGACTTATTAAACACCGATTGACTTTGTAATTCGGCTGTAATATGTCATTAATGAATCATTAGTAGGGTTTTTACGAGTTAATGTAATTAATTAATTGTTGCAGGGTCCTAATACCAGAATTATTATTATTAGTGTCGCTGTTATTGTGACTATTTCTTGCGTTAGCTCATAAGATTATGCTTAATTAATTTCAAAATTTCTTCTACGTCACTTAGTAATTAAGGTGGATTTATTTTAATTATCACAAGTTGGCTGATTAATTATGTCTTTTTTAAATATAAGAATTTACGTAATTAATCGCGTTGACATGCATCAGCTTCTTGTATAAATTAAATATTTACTTTTATTTAATTGCATTTTCTTTAATATGAGCATTTTCTATTGCTTAAGAATTATTAAAAACGTCTTCTTACTAGTTTTTCTTAATGTTATAAATGGGTAGCGTTAAGATTTAAACACGTGATTTTCATCAATTTTAATACTATTTTGAATTAATTCATTCGAAAATCTTAATACAAACACCTTTTTATTCATATAATAAAAACCAATAGCTTAGTTGATTTGAGCGTATGAGGATCTTTGTAAGACAACTTCAATACTGTCTTAAATGTGTATTATTTTATAGGTCAATCGCAGGGCAGATTCCGGAGTCATAAAACAACAAATTTAAATTTTTAACGAATCTATGATGTCAAAGAGCAGAAGGTCAATACCTTTTGGGATGGGATATTAAGTAATGACAAAGAGAATGTTGAAACTCCAAAGGGTTAGTTCAAATTCAAACCCAAACCTAGAATGGGACAATAGAACCACTTGTTGATGATAAAAATATCTTAGAGATGTCTTCAAATTCAATGTACGTACTAAGGAAAAGTATCAAATTAATCAACCAATCAAATTTACTTTTGACTAGTCATTGTTTTCCCAATTGAGACTTAAATCACATTAGAAAAATCAGTTCTCTTACAATTTCATTGGCTTTACAAAATGATTCCCATTAAGTTTGGGACCCTGGTTTTTTTTATTTAGTTAGTAAAAGAGAGAGACGTTTATTGAAAAATTAAATCCATTAATTTGTATCCATCAACCAATATTAATCTTGATTTGACTTCATGCATGTGTGTCCCAAAGGTCTTTTCATGTACTTATAAAGTTATAATTTTGGCAAAACAGTCTATTTGGTGCACATTAAAACGAGTGAATGCATTTTTTTGAAGTGATGTAATGGAGAATATGTGGTTGAAAATGAAGGAAAAGTTATTAATGTGATGAAAAATATTATTTTATTGAAGAATGTGTGGTTAAAAATGAGTAGAAGAATGAGAATAAAAAAATAATGTGGATCAAACAGGGACTTATTTTTATCCTTTCATACTATCTAATCCAGCTAAAGTGATGTAATGGAGAATATGTGGTTGAAAATGAAGGAAAAATTATTGATGTGATGTAAAATATTATTTTATTGAAGAATGTGTGGTTGAAAATGAGTAGAAGAATGAGAATGAAAAAAATAATGTGGGTTAAACAGGGGCTCAATGTGCACCAAACAGACTCTATTGCCAAAGAGAACTTCATATTCAAATGAGAACCATTCAATTTTTTAGCTCATTTAGATCATTATTCGAGTCAATCTTAAGTATAATGAACATGAGAATAAAGAGAAGCAAACACAACTTTCACACAAACGGCATTCATAATCATATTTAGTGCTTGTTTGTCTCCCATTTTGGGAGAAGAAATAGAGTTTTGAATAGTATTTTTTGGAGAATGTGTGGTTGAAAGGTAAAGTAATTTTATTGATTTGTGCGTAGATTATTTTATTAAAAAAAGGGGTTGAACCCCAACTTTGAGGGTCCCCCGCCCCTAAAGCATTGTGAAGAATGTAAATCGCGGGATGTACGTCAACAGGCTATGGTACAAGAGTTGTCGTACTGGTGCCCACAAAGAGTTCAATTTCATACCTTGTAAGAGACAGGAATCGAACTCTCACACTGCGGCTGCCAACTCAGTTGAGATTATCTTACTCCTGTCCTTTGCACTATAGAGTTATGCCCCGGGGGCTATGTATAGAGTATTTTATTGAGTGAATATGTGGAGAAAATTATTTACTGTAGCAAATAAAAAATAATATGGATCAAATAGGGGCTCAATGTTCACCAAAGAGACTCTATTGCCAAAGAGAACTTCATATTCAAATGAGATCCATTCAATTTTTTAGCTCATTTAGATCATTATTCGAGTCATTCTTAAGTATAACGAACATGAGAATAAAGAGAACCAAACATAACTTTCACACAAACGGCATTCATAATCATATTTAGTGCTTGTTTGTCTCCCATTTTGGGAGAAGAAATAGAGTTTTGAATAGTATTTTTTGGAGAATGTGTGGTTGAAAGGTAAAGTAATTTTATTGGTTTGTGCGTAGATTATTTTATTAAAAAAAAGGGGTTCAACCCCAACTTTGAGGGTCCCCCGCCCCTAGAGAATGTAAATCGCGGGATGTACCTCAACAGATTATGGTACAAGAGCTGTCATACTGGTGCCCACAAAGAGTTCAATTTCATACCTTGTAAGAGGCAGGAATCGAACTCTCACACTGCGACTGCCAACTCAGTTGAGATTATCTTACTCCTGTCCTTTGCACTATAGAGTTATGCCCCGGGGGCTATGGATAGAATATTTTATTGAGTGAATATGTGGAAAAAATTATTTACTGTAGCAAATAATATTTGATAAATGGATGACAAATATGGGCTTAAGCAAATGATTAAAGTTATGAAAGTTAGTAAAGAAATTTTACTATAATTTTGAGAATCCCAAAACCATACAAAAATTCATACATATCTACATGTTTTAGGGCATTATTTAATCAATTCGCCCTTCAGTTTTCACCATGCAACGTGACATGTATGACAGAATCCACCTCTTTACTTTATTTGAGCCAGCATGTCAGACTATGTTTAAAAGTTACTTTTTAATAGGTAAATTAAGAGTTATTTAAAAAAAAAAAAATTTATTAATAAAAATAATAATTTTAACAAACATTTTTGATTAAATAAGTAACTTAAAATCATAATATTCAATAATGCTATTTTCGCTCCATTAAAATCATAATCAAAACCATCGTCATCTTCATTAAACAAAAGAATTAAAGAGCTCAAGTAGGGTGAGTGGTGGAGACGGTTTAAGACGGTCGAGCCGGCAATGATGATGATATGGTGCTAGTGACATGGTCATAAACAATAAAATTAGACTGGTCAAATCTTTAATTAATTTTTTTATTAATTAATATTTGGTGACTCGATCCTTACGGCCATTATGGTTAAAAAGAGTGTGCCCCTTTTTGGCAACTGAGCTTTCAATTTTGATGATTTCCAAGCCAAGTGGATTAATTCACTCTTGAACATGTATTTTGTGGCTAGATTTTTTTTGGTTCTTAACTTTTGTTTCAACCTTGTAATGTAAGGACAAGTGTTTTAGTTTCAAAAAGAAATGGTTTAAGTATTTAGATTGTGTACGACTTGTTCGTATTATTTAAGTAGCACTAAGTTTATAAGATTACACTTGATTAGGTATGAAAATCGACTAAGTCTATGAGGTTCAAGAAAGTGACCACTAGCCTCGATTGTGTCAGGTATCAGTATAATCAGGCTCACGATCTATATGTATCTCATTTTGTTAATGTTTTTACGAGAAATCACTAGCAAAAGATGGAAATTTTAAAAATTCTTGTCCTCTTTAACTTGTCCTTGAATCCTAAGGGGTTAAGACCTAAACTAATGAGTCAGCAAGCTACTTAATCAATCTTTGATGCCTTAACCTCCAACCACCATCTTGTTAATGTAGTACAAGTACGAACCCCATTTTTGTAGCCTAAGAATAGATAAAACCAGAAAATTTGAACTAATGGTACTACATTGGAAATGTTTGTATTATATTAAGGATGGACATTAATTATTGGGGACAATGATGATGACGTTTAATCATCATTAAAGTATAGTAATTAAGCCTTATTATAAATAACCCACTTAGTTGATTAGAACCTTCAATCAGATCCCTTTTTTAATGTGTCTTGATCCAGCATCTTAATCCCATTGCTTTTTACCTCAAGCACAATCCAATTTCAGTCCAATTTTTATCATAAAGTGGTACTAAAAGTTGCTTAGGTATGGCAATGGTCATGGACCTTGACTTTTCAGGTTATAGTTATAGTACGACCACCACCACGACTACGACTACCACCTCGACCGAAGGGGACCAGGGTTGCAACTGGAATGACTGGTCACCGGTTTTCGACTGGGAGGCTCTCTCCGGTGACCAGGAGGATTTCCATTACCTAATGGACTCGATGATGGAAGAAAATGTTGTTCTACACCAGCCAGTTAGGTCTATAGATGAAGGGTACAACAGTTTGTCCCCAGACACTATGATGACAGATGAAGAAACCAATAGCACCGACGATTGCAAAGGGCTAAGGCTCATACACCTGCTAATGGCTGCAGCCGAGGCGCTAACCGGGCCGAACAAATGCAAAGAATTGGCTAGGGTGATATTGGTTCGGCTCAAGGAATTGGTGTCACCACTTGATGGCACTAACATGGAGAGGTTAGCAGCGTATTTTGCTGAGGCCTTGGAGGGTTTACTAGACGGCGCTGGTCGCAAGAAAATTTTGGGCGGTGGCAAGGAGGAGCACCACCACCAGACGGACGTTTTGGCGGCATTTCAGCTGCTCCAAGACATGTCACCCTATGTGAAATTTGGGCATTTCACGGCCAATCAAGCTATAATAGAAGCTGTGGCACATGATAGGAGGGTTCATATAGTGGACTATGATATCATGGAAGGGATACAATGGGCATCGTTGATGCAATCCTTGGTGTCTAGAAAAGACGGCTCACCTACTCCACACCTTCGGATAACAGCATTATCTCGGGGTGGAAGTGGGCGACGATCATTTTGCACCATTCAAGAGACAGGTCGACGCTTGACCGCCTTTGCGGCCTCCATTGGTCAACCTTTTTCTTTTCATCAATGTAGGCTTGATGCCGATGAGACATTTAAACCATCCTCTTTAAAATTGGTTCGAGGAGAGGCTCTTGTTATCAATTGCATGCTCCACCTACCACATTTCAATCATCGTGCCTCGAACTCAATCGCTTCGTTTTTATCTGGATCCAAGACCCTGAACCCGAGACTAATTACCCTTGTGGAAGAAGAGATGGTGACCACAGGGGAGGCTGGGTTCATGGGCCGATTCACGGACTCATTGCATCATTACTCAGCTATATATGACTCACTCGAAGCCGGGTTTCCAATGCAAAGCCAGGCTCGAAAACTCGTGGAACAAGTATTTCTTGGACCTCGAATATCTGGATCATTGGCCCGTATCTACTGGGCACGTGGCGAGGGGGATGCATGTTCTTGGGGTACGTGGTTGGCTGCGATCGGATTTCGTCCTATAAACATAAGCTTTGCCAGTCATTGTCAAGCCAAATTATTGTTAGGACTTTACAATGATGGGTATAGGGTGGAGGAATTAAGTAACAATAAACTTGTTCTAGGATGGAAGTCACGGCGCCTACTTTCTGCCTCCATATGGAGCTCACAAGATAGTGATTTATGATTAATTTGCTTCAATGTTTGCTATTATCAATCTTGTATTTACTACGTCCAATGAGCATTTAGCTCGAGGTTTCTTTTCTTTTCTTTTTCCTTTCTGGAGTCTCGAGTATATAAAATAAGAGACAAATTTTGAAAAAATTGTTGTGTAGTAGTGACCGTGTTCTTTTTCGATGTTCAATTCGATATCATCATCATTTTAAAAAATGGTGTATGTCCTCTAAACTATGTATAAATTGAAATTAAATACTCTTTGAAATGTATTTTTGATGTGTTTATGTTTTGATATTTTCTAGGTTGATTGTTCAAGTACATTCTCGAAAATATACATATAGGTTCTTACTTTAATGAGTTGAAAGATGAAAGACCTAAAGAAAAAAACTACCTAATAATTGGTTTGGTAGCCCTAAAATTGTACATCTGATGTGCAATTATCATTCGGATAAATCTGTATGTACATAATTATTGTATATAATGGATTACATAGGTCCATGTGGAAGAAATTCGACCGTGGATGTGAAGTGTGGAAAAGTCAAAAATTGTAGACTATCGATGGATGCGCGAAATTTGCTTCAATGTTTGCTATTATTAATCTTGTATTTACTACGTCCAATGAGCATTTAGCTCGAGGTTTCTTTTCTTTTTCCTTTCTGGAGTCTCGAGTATATAAAATAAGAGACAAATTTTGAAAAAATTGTTGTGTAGTAGTGACCGTGTTCTTTTTAGATGTTCAATTCGATATCATCATTTTAAAAAATGGTGTATGTCATCTAAACTATGTATAAATTGAAATTAAATACTTATTGAAATGTATTTTTGATGTGTTTATGTTTTGATATTTTCTAGGTTGATTGTTCAAGTACGAAAATATACATATAGGTTCTTACTTTAATGAGTTGATAGATGAAAGACCTAAAGAAAAAACTACCTAATATTTGGTTTTGTAATTTGTTTGGTAGCCCTAAAATTGTACATCTGATGTGCAATTATCATTCGGATAAATCTCTATGTATATAATTATTGTACATAATGGATTACATAGGTCCATGTGGAAAAAATTCGACAGTGGATGTGAAGTGTGGAAAAGTAAAAAATTGTAGATTATCGATGGATGCGCGCCACATATCAATTATGTAATGTATTATGTAAATGATTATTTACTTGTAGCATGGTCCATTATCATTCTGCAATATTGAAAGTAACAAACTATTTTGAGCCCGATGAGTTTTAGCTAAACACAATTACATAATAAAATCAATCGTACTTTCAGATAAACGGTCAACTATCGAGTAAATAACCCTTATAAACTCTATATATAGGTTAGAAACCCGTTTGACAAAGGTGATTGAGATATCCCTCCATAACGTATATATGTTGGGCATAAAAAAATATAATTTTTTTATGCCGTTTTTATGCCGTTTGTGTTTAAATATATATTTTGATTATAAATATAGTTGGAACATGAAAAGATACCTCGGAATCTACCATCAAGAAACACTATTCTTACAAAGTACGATGAGATCATAAGTTTGGAAGAACACATAAAAAAATTGCGAAGATGCCCTCTGAATTCTTATACATTTGAACCAACTTTAAATTTTTTATTAGGAAAAAAATTGTTAAGATCTCGAGACATCGTCATCAGCAATGACGATCCTACTTTCTGGTACATAGTATTTTATTTTGTATCATAGGTTAAAAAATTAAATAAAGTTTAGAGAAAAAAAAAATGGTCTTGTAGTTGAAGCAAATTGTTCATCAACTTTTTGTCTTGCATCATCCATGGGACACTAGTTTGGAATTCAGTAGATTTTTTTATTGGTTTAGTATTTTAATTTTAGTTTAGAAATCGTGTTATTTTTTATTTCCGAGTCGTAAAATTGGAGCCCTGAAAATATTAAATTCCATTGTATGTTGTTATTGTTTGTGTTGAATATTAGAAATCTAATTTTATACTATCATAATATGGAAATAAAAACACAAAAGAAAACGTAAGATTTATAGAGATTTGTCTCAATATGAGATTATATCCTCATTCGTCGATGCAGTAATTCACTATAACGAAAATAAGTTTACAGGAAAATTGCGCATCTTCTCTAACTTTTGAAATATGAATTATCGGCACCTTGAACTTTGATGATAACACAAAACTCTATGACTTATCTATATTTATAAGACAAATTAAAATAAATCGAAATTAAAAATGTGAAATTTTGGTCAATCCGCATACGTACTCTGTACATCGACAATAATTAGGTTTCACAATTTAACAGTTTGTTGAGTTTTTTTTTTTTTCCCTTAAAAAATAAGACAAATTAGTAATAACAAAAATAAAAGAAAAGAAAATGAGGACAAAACATTATTCCAAATAGTCATGGAAGTGCTTGAGAATTTAACACATTTTAAACACCCAACTATATTGCAAAAAAAAAAAAAATGTCAAAAATACATTACAAAACTATTAAACATTGGGATGAAGAATTTTGAAAATTAGGAAAATAAAGAGGTACAACATTATTCCACAAAGACTGCCGGATTATTGTACCAATCTCTCGACAAGATTAAAATTATCACTTATGCAACACATTTAAAACCCCTTTTTAATTGGAGGCTACCTAGAAACCACCATAATTCAACGTTGTGATAGTAAAATCTTCGACTAACACTTCAAAGGCCAAATAAAAAATCAAGATGTGCTTAACCCTATCGACCAAGAATTTTCAACCACCCAATACTCATCGTTGTGGTTATGTAGTGTTCGATCGAATCGGGTCAGCATCTCTTATGAATATAACATATTCACACGTGATAAAGTAAAATCTGTCAACTCGACAAGATAAAAAAAAACGTTTAACTTAAAATTAAATGAACGTCTTGGTCATGGTCCACTTGGTGTTTAGAAGTCATGATTTTGGAAAAGGCACACTAAGAAATAAGAAATAAAAGACTTCCTAGACCAATTACGGCAATCTAAGAATGATCAAATAGATCAATTGATCTCATAAGGAAACCAGCAAATTAAGGTCAATATCTACTTGACACTTTGATATTATGCTTAGTACAAGTTCAAGTACCGATTAATCTTGTTTTATAGCGTATACTCTAGTCGAACACACTTTGATAATGTTTTGACATGACATTAGCATGATAAAAACATGACATCAATGTCACAACCATTTAAGTAACAAGAGATATTAACAACGAGTTACTTTTTATTATATATATATTACTTGAAATCTTAGACTAAAGCATCAAATAAAGTTCAAGAAAAAATGGTCTTGTTCTTGAAGCTAATTGATTTATCAACTTTTTGTCTTGTATCATTCATGGGACATTAGAGAGAGAGAGAGAGAGAGAGAACAGCATTATTCCACAGTCAAGGGCTGCTAGAGTGACACAACTTAGACACGGAACTATATCGCAAAAAAAAATATTATATACTTGCAACATACTATATTGCCATTTAAATAAGAGGATACAATAATATTATTATTATTATTATTATTATTATTCCAAAGGACTGCTAATTATTGTACCAAATCCCTCGGACGGGATTAAACTTCTCATTATATAACACATTTTAGACCCTTTCTAATGGGAAGCTACCTTTTCTTTAAAACTTGGCTGAGCCAATCCCTCGGACAGGATTAAACTTCTCATTATATAACACATTTTAGACCCTTTCTAATGGGAAGCTACCTTTTCTTTAAAACTTGGCTGAGTTGGCTCAGCCCAAAAATGGCCGGTCGAGCCATACGGGTTGGCTCAGGCTCAAGCCTTTGCCCCAAAATGGGACTCGGTTGTTCCAATCCATGAGTCGGCTCGGCTAGGACTTTTTCGGGCTGAGCTACGTAAGGCCCAAGCCGACAGCCATTTTGCCATCCCTACCCAAACCCAATTGTCAAACTTGCACGTTATAAACCAAATATTTTTCCTCTAGGTTTTTTACGTGGAACAATTTTCAACAATTCTATCAAGTTCTCACTATTTAAAGTTTCAAGTGGGTGAATTTGAATCCAAATATTTTATTTAATACTAATAAGTTTTTGACAAATAAATATATTATGTTATTCATCTCGCGAAATAGAACATGAATATGATTGGTCCTGTTAGTTTTAGAGTTCAGATCCCATTCAAATATGAGTTCAAAGTTGCTCAATTAAAACCATTTTCCAACAAAAATCCTATCAACCCGACATGCGGAACATAAAAAACTTCCATAAAAAAATGAACATTTTGAAGGCCGAATTAAATTTTAAGATGTGCTTAACCCTAGTGACCAAGAATTATCACACACCAAATACTCATCATCGTTGTCCATTCAGAATACATGATATTCAAAAGGATTGTGCATAAATCGTCATGATAAATAGAAGACCTATCAAATAGATGTCAAATGGAGCTAAGATTTCTAAAATTTCAATTTTCCTTCTTTTTTTGGACGAGGATGAAAGAAATATACGTGGGATTCTTGAATTTATGCAAATAACTAAAAAAAATGATGGTTGTTGGCATTGCTTAACTCCAAAATAATGATCAAGTCATATCGGCCTAGATTCAACCCATATTGGGCCTCTGGAACCCACCTTGACAAAATGGAGCAAAGGTAGAATAACTAGGCCACTAAATGGGCTACAGGATAGTGATACTTATTCCGAGTGCATGAATCATGCCTTTGCCCTTAAACTTTTTTTCACTTGACCAAAAAGGCATCTTATCTTGTGAAAGTAACATTTGATGCTAATTTTATTGCATGAATAAACTTTTAACATATTTTAACTTGATTTGGTATTTAAAAATCACCAGGCATAAACTATGTTAACTTATTATTGTAAACTAGCAATAAATTGGACTGAGCAAAAATTATTCCTAAAATAAGTGAGAATCAAAGCTAATGACTATCATATAAGCAATGAACGGAATTTTTTTTTTCTAATATACGTTGAAGTACGAACTCATGTTACAATTGTCAAATTTGAGTCACACTGGTGGATCTTGACAAAT